CATTGACATATTTGATGCTTTACCATCAACTCATATTTTTAATAGCGATGTTAGTACTTTAATTCACTAACCGGGTTATCTAGTTATTATATGTAGTTAATTGTAAATGTATGTTCTAAGTATTGATTGAGTATATCACGATGTAAATATGTAGTGATGAATAACAGTTCGTTACGTCAGCACACCATCTTGTGAAGTCAGAGTAAATCTTGTCTATGAAGAATATGGAGCAATTTTTATAATGTCAGCGAATAAATAGGCGGGTTTGACATTTGTCTGTCTGTCTGACATAGTTACTCAAGATTATATAACGCAGATTCTAAATTTATATAGTATTAAACCATGTATTTGTCATTACGGCAGAAAACTTACAGATTGAGGACAGCCTCGCTGGTCTAGTGGTTTAATACACCGCTTTACTATCCGATGGTTGTGGGTTCGATTCCTCGCACGGTACAAACATTTGTATTCATGAGTATGATTGTTTGTATCGGTCTGTGTGTTTTCTATGTATAATATGTATTTATTTACAAATAAATGTATCTATGTATTTATATCAGTTGTCTAGTACCTATAACACAGAGGAACAGCTTAAGTATTGGATTAGCCTACTTAAGAACCTGAGTTACATCACATGTTTAAAAATAATGTTTGTTCGCTACATAAAAATGAATGTATTTTTATATAGAGAACAAACAGAATAAGTATTTATTTAGTACCTTTTAGGTATTTACAACAGAAATAAAAATAAAAAAAAAATACAAAAAAAAAGTGTCTTATTATTTATATTATTAACCGGGTCTTAACACTTACACTTTTTTTTTAACAATATAAATAATAATACTGAATAAAATGTATATTATTATTTACTAGCTACTCGCCCCGACTTCGCCCGTGTACATGTAAACCTTCCTCTTGAATCAATCTATCTATTAAAAAAAACGCTTCAAATCCGTTGCGTAATTTTAAAGATTTAAGCATACATAGGGATGGACAAACAGCGATAGCGACTTTGTTTTATACTATGTAATGATATTAAACACGAGAATTTAAAAAAAAAGTATATTAGTAATTCGCCAAATATCAAGGCTTCAAATTAGTCATCATCATTATCATCGCAGCCCGGAAGACGTCCACTGCTGGACATAGGCCTCCCCCAAAGATCTCCACGACGATCGGTCCTGCGCTGCTCGCATCCAATGCCTTCCAGCGATTTTGACCAGATCGTCGGTCCACCTTGCTGCAGGCCTTCCCACGCTACGTCTTCCGGTCCGTGGTCGCCACTCGAGGACTTTACTGCCCCAATGGCCATCTGTCCTATGAGCTATGTGCCACTTCAGAGTCGCAATTCTCGGATATGTCGGTCACTCTGGTTCTGGTCACTCTTCTGCGGATCTCCTCATTTCTGATTCGATCACGCAGAGTAACTCCGAGCATAGCCCTCTCCATTGCCCTCTGAAAATTAAAATTAGTACCAAGTATCTAATTTCAAAATTCTTTCTCATTATGATCATTTCAAAACTAAATAACTACCTTATCGCCATCAATTTAATCATTGGTAAACTGATGCGATATCAGTTCACATGATATTGCAACTAACGACGCAGTTAATAGAGTTGCTTTTTAATTGTTCGTTTGTTATAGAAGCTAAGCAACTCTGTACAAAGGTCTATTAAAATCCAATCAAAATCAATATAGAAGCCATAATTAATGTCAAATCTGCTAATGACAGCGTAATCATGCATCGGACATTCGCCTCTATGTGTTAAGGCGCACGTGCCACTGTTAAAAAGTACGGTATGACATGGTTCTCCATTAGGAGAAGTAGAGAAAGAACAATGGGTATTTATTTATTAATATTTACTGGTGTATAAATGTGCAGTATCACGTTATCACGACGGGCTACCTGACCTGACCTCATACTCATCTTATCATCCTCCACTGGTGCCCCATCAGCGTAAACCATATACCAGGCGGGTGCACCATTCCATTGTCATCTATAAAAAAAATAATACTAAGAAGTAACATCCACCACCCCGTCAGCATAAAACGTTAGTGCAGGAGCAAGGGGATCGTTAGTAATGGGAACTAGTAATCCCCATTGCTAGACATGTACCATGTTAGGTTGATCTCCACGCGGTTCCTCCTGGCAACCATCGTGATAAATTCCTAGTGAATTTGTCACGATGTGCTAACTGACCTGATCTTATATTCATCTTATCATCCTCCACTGGTGCCCCGCCAGCGTAAACCGTTAGCGCAGGCGGGTGCAACATTCCATTATCATCCATAAAAAAAAACTGTTAGCGCAGCGGGTGTATCATCCTATTGTCATCTAGAAAAAAAATTAGTAATAAGTAAGATGTGGCCGAGGAAAGTAGATGAGGAAATATGTTAAGGTGATACGATACGATGAATTTTTTAAAGTAATTATTGAGGGAAATATAGAAGGAAAGAGGGGGAGAGGAAGACCAAGGCACAGCTACATCAAACCAATTAAAGACAGAATTGGAGTCGTGTCGTATCAAGGATTAAAAAGTATGATGGAAGATCGTAGAAAGTGGCAAGAGCTCCACCGACAAGAGCGTTGCTGTTAAATTTATGAATGAACTAGCTTTTGCTCGCGGCATCGCTCGCGTTTATTTATGTCTTTAGGGGTGGAATTTATCAAACTCCTTTCTTAGCCTACGTCATAGTAGCATGCATAAGCATGCAAAGTCTCAGTCCGATCGGTTTAAAATTGACGAAGTTTCATACAAACTTTCATCCCCTTTTTTATCCCGTCAGTTGAGTTATATATATATACCTACAATATATTGGCGAAAGTGGTTTATAAAGTAGAATTAATCAAAATCCTTTCTTTTATTTACCTTTAAAATCATATTCCATTATTTTACTTTTCACCAAAATAAAACGAGGAGAAATTTCACACACTTACTATATTGACAAAGTGCAGAATGCAATTTTTTTTTATTTATGGATGCCTACGTCATAACATCTACCTGCATGCCAAATTTCAGCCCGATCCGTCCAGTGGTTTGGGCTGTGCGTTGATAGATCACTATGTCAGTCACCTTTGAGTTATATATATTTGGATGAAGATGTGGCCGTGCTACCTCAACAATTGTTTATGACCATGACCATCCGGCGCGGCCTCCGCCTGCCAGTATCTCGCATCTATTGCCTCTGATGGGGTTTTTGTGGGCTCGCCATCACCCTTTGTGGGCTATTCTATTGTTTCCCACTCAACCGCTATGCACGAATGTTGAATAGAAATAATTGGGTCGCTGTACACAAGTCGTTAGACATTTTTACGGCACTACTGTATATCATCATTACATAGTATAAAATAAAGTCGCTGTCCCTATGTATGCTTTAATCTTTAAAACTACGCAACGGATTTTGAAGCGATTTTTTTAATAGAGTGATTTCTAGGTTAATGTATAAAATATATGTACCCGTGCGAAGAAGGGGCGAGTTGCTAGTGAGTAATAATATACATACAGACACACACGTAACATATTAGTAAAGATGACACCATTAAATAGTTATGTTCTCACGACAATAACGTGACATACCGACATACTGACATTCTCAGTAAATAACACACTTCCTCTCTCCGTCATATCGGTTAATTGTCACAGACAGATATACGTATATGGTCAGGTTATTATAGAAAGAATTCTACATTATAGGCACAGTCTCGCTGGTCTAGCGGTTTAGTACACGAGCCTACTGCCGATGGTCATGGGTTCGATTCCTCGCACGATGCAAATATATTTATTCAATAGCACGATTGTATAAATTGTTACAGGTGGTTTCTATGTAACTTATTAATATGACGACCTCGGTGATCTAGTGGTTTAGCACACCGCTTTATGTCCGATGGTCGCGGGTTCGATTCCTCGCACGGCACAAACATTTGTATTCATGAGTATGATCATGTGTTTTCTATGTATAATATGTATGTAATTAAGAAAAAAGAAATATTTCTATGTATTTGTATCAGTTGTCTAGTGCCCGTAATACAAGCTTTAGCTAGCTTAACTTGGGTATAGATGGCGCTGTGTGAATTGTCCTGAGATTATTATTATTAATATAAGCATCCAATAATACAGTATAGGTAAGTTTTAGACGATTTTTGACGTTCAGAGAACTAAATGTATATGAAAGTACATACATTTATAAGCCATAATTTATAGCCCACATGTTATTTATTTATTTATGCATTCCATCACAGATAACATAATATTACATAATTCCATAGTCTAAATATATATAACTCAAAGGTGACTGACATAGTGATCTATCAACGCACAGCCCAAACCACTAGGGGGAAATGGGATTGTTAGTAATGTGGACTAATTAATCAATTACTAGCAATGTACCATGTCAGGTTGACCTCCACGCGGTCCCCCCTGGAAACCATCGTGTTAAATTCCTGGTGAATTTGTCACGATGGGCTAACTGACCTGACCTCATGCTCATATTATCACCCTCCACTGGTGCCCCGCCAGCGTAAACCGTTAGCGCAGGCGGATGCACCATTCCATTATCACATACAAAGAGCCCAAACCACTGGACGGATCAATACATAGAAAATACTCAGACCGATACAAACAAACATAGTCATGAATACAAATTTTTGTATTTTGAGGAATCGAACCCGCGACCATCGGAAGTAAACCGGTGTAAACCGCTAGACAACCGAGGCCGTCTAATTAATATGCATACATCCTTACTAATGGATATGCAAATAAGCGCATCGCGGCCAAAAATAAATTGTGAAAACTAGTATTTACTCACACATTTACATTCAAATCCATCGCTTTAAATAGTATTGAACTATATTCTAAAACAACGGATTAGTATTATAATCTGTGGCGAATCTCTGAACAATTGACCAAGGTCGGACGCAGGAATCCGAGCGGGGTAGGGTCGCGAACACTAGCGAACGCACGCGAGTTCAAATGCCAGGCCAGTATCACGCGAAACGCAGTATCAACTACTCGCGTACTGGCGACATGTTTAACGAACACGATTTTTAAATTACGAATGAGAATTTTGAATTACGAATTCGATGACAGATTAAAAAAGTTTCGGTTCAATTTGTAGTGTTGTGCCACTATCGGTGTTAGAAGTTAAATCGATGGGCGTTCGATTTTTAAAGTGCAAATGACATTTGGCGCGGCTGTTTATAATTAAATTGCTAAAGGTTGCATCCAGTAAGTGAATGTCTCATCGATTTTTGATCCTTACTTGTAATTACGAGGAAATTCTATTTTTGTATGACAGAGAATAGAATAGGAACAATTTATACTTATAAACTTAAATTCAGTCAGTTTCGTCTTTTAAACATCATTTTAAAAAATATTTACTTAAAGTACAATAATCTTAAACGTGGCAGATAAATACAGTAGTCATATATACATATATATTGATTAAATAAATAAATATATTCAAGCTATATTATATTACACAAAAGTCTTTCTATCAACACTTTTTTATACTTATATATTTTTCCTATATTTATCACACATACATATAATTCATCCATTTAACTGATTCTTCATTTTATATATTTAAATTCATCACGAATACTATTTCTTTTTTTATTTTTTTCAAGTGGCTCCACTGAAAATCAGCGCTGTAGTGACACGCTGCGGCACCAGCTGAATGGAAGCCTTTTCAGCATAGACGATTATTAGTATTTAAGTTTTCTTTTTTACTCTGTACTCTTTTTTATGCTGAATAAATGATGATGATTATTATTATTATTAAATTTAAGCACTTTTAAGTAGTCACAGTATATGTTGTTGTCCGAGATTCAATTTAGTAATAGTTGTTGTCTATTTTTATTATTTACTAAGGTTCTATATACAAAAATATATGATACAATTCGTAATTGTAAAACGTATAATTTAAATATGAGATATAAAACTATATGGCCAGTATGGGAACAACTGTATACAAATATAATATAATAGCTATGCTCGCGGTTTCACTCGCGATAAATTTCAACATGTAAATTATAATAAAAATATATAGCCTATAGGTTATTCTGATGTATAAGCTATATTACTGTAGTGTCATCAAAATCCGTTCAGTAGTTTTTGCGTGAAAGACTAACAAACATCCATACTTACAAACTTTCGCGTTTATAATTTTATTAAGATTAAGATTTTCTTGGGAACGATTTTCAAGTTAAATTTGAAAGTTGATACATATCGATCAACATCTATACATATAAATAAAATTGGAGTGTCTGTAATATTGAAATAGCCGTTTTTTACTACATGCGAATGAATATAAATACGGTACATACACCGAAATAACATTTTTTACAATTTTGTCTGTCTGTCTGTCTATTTGTTCCGGCTAGTCTCTGAAATGGCTGAACCGATTTTGACGAGACTTTTTTTGGCAGGTAGCTGATGTAGTAAGGAGTAACTTGACTACTTTTATTTTATAAAATTAAGTTAAATTCCACGCGGACGAAGTCGCGGGAACAGCTAATCGAAAATATAGGCGATTATATAGCTGTATAGGCTCAATTCCCTTTGCCTTGAAGGATATTCAGAATAAAAAAATAATGCTTTTTTTTTTATTTTCAGAGACTAAGGCCCAGTGTATAGTGAGATATGACAATAGTCTGAGTTTATCATATCGTAGTGCGTGAAATAGTGTAGTCATGAGTTATAAACTTTTTTTATTGGTGTGTGCAACACTATGGTGTTTCTATTGGGCCACGGTTGCAGCGCAGACGAAGGTGAGAAAGATTTTTATCAATATTTTCCGATTCCTATTTGTTCCGTATTCCGAACCTTCTTAGTCTAAACAGGTTGTATCACCGGCTTGATTACTGAAGCATATAATTGTTTTTGATGAAAATATACACTGTAGAGTGCGTGGCCACTAAACAGTACTACACATCGGGTCATTCCTGAGCAAAGGTGAGTGAGTTTGGTGTTACATTGCTTACTTTGCAGTGTTCGGAGTGTGGAAGACATTCTTCCAGGTCGAAATCTTATTTTTACTTCCTTTTCCATTAATTATTTTCTTTTCAATAAATACAGTCCACTCTCTCTTTTGTATATTGATTTATAAGGATTCCAACACTATTTTTTGGTACACTTTTAAATCGCAACAAGACGAAAACTGCCACTTTGTTACGGTTACACGTAAAAACGATGGATTGACGGATGGAATGATTTTTTATAACAATATAATTTTTGCACGAAATCTTATAATTGTAATGCTGAACAAGATTTATTTAAAAAAGCGACATGCATGTGTCTGCTTTCTGAATGAGTGTTAGAATAAAAATATATAATAATAATAATGACGTATTACTCCCGTATATAATATATATATATAAAATTTATATTATATAAATCATTAAAAAAAAATACCGTGAATTCACACAACACTATCTAGTCCCAAGCTAAGCTGACTTTGTGTTACGGGTACTAGACTACTGATACAAATAGATAGATATTTTTTTGAATAAATACATAATATATATAGATATATAAATATACACCTAAACCGATAGAAATAATTATGCTCATGAATACAAATGTTTGTGCCGTCCGAGGAATCGAACCCGCGACCATCGGATGGAAAGCAGTGTGCTAAATCCCTATACCACCAAATTGTAGTCGTGAATACAAATGTTTGCGCCGTGCGAAGAATTGAACCCGCGACCATCGGAAGGAAAGATGTGTTTTAAACCGCTAAACTAACGAGGTCGTCTGGAGTAAAAGAATTATTGTTACTTTGTTGATATATGTAACAATATAACTCACAATTATGTATACAGGTAAGTATATAACTACATTCATACATTCATATATACATATAACTACATTCTGTCCAGATTTACCAACGTTTATGACACTTGCGATTACCAGATACCATCAATACTGTACCTGCTTTCATAGTTAAGGAAGGGGCCGTTCAAGTATTACGTAAGCACTATGGCGGGGAGGTTATGCTTTGCTTATTTTGGATGACATGGGGGTAGGATAGTCATGATGATGATTACGTCATAGTCAGTCATTTACTTTATTACGCAAATGGCAACCCTCATATTGTCTTTGCTAAAAAAATGAAACTTTAATTAAAAAATCTTTAGGTAATCATGGGGGCAGGGGGTAAGAGCTTTGTTTGCTTTTGCTTAGAAGGGTGATGGGGGGGGGGGGAAATAGTTGTTATAATCTGTTTGCTAAAAAAATAAAACATTAATTAAAAAATGTTTACGTAAGCATGGGGGTAAGAGCTTTGTTTACTTTTGCTGATAAGGGGGCTGGGGGGGGGGGGTAAATAGTTGTTATAATCTTCTTACGTAATAATTGGCGGCCCCTAATAATGAATGGTAGACCCCAGTGAAAATTCTCCTGTTCTCATAATAGCTACCTGTTGGTTATTTTAATCTGTTTCGCTAAGGTTGCCTTGAAAACATTACTTTCAGCAATAGAAAAGACTGAAGATGTATATATACGTAGATACTCTTCGTTTTAGTGAAATATAAAAAAATCTATTTTGGTACAGCAATTCTATATTAACTAGCCACTCTAAAAAAACAGCTTTAAAATCCGTTACGTAATTTTAAAGTTTTAAGCATACATAGGGACGGACAGACAGCGACAGCGACTTTATTTTATACTATGTAACTAGCCACTCACCCCGGCTTCGCACGGGTGTATGCACATGTATTATACATATAAACCTTCCTCGTGAATCACTCTATCTATTACAAATAAACCGCTTCAAAATCCGTTGCGTACTTTTAAAGATTTAAGCATACATAGGGACGGACAGACAGCGACAGCGACTCTGTTTTATACTATGTAATGATGATATTGATATAAACAAGGGATATACCAGAACAATACAATATTCAATACAATATTATTCTGGTATATTCCTTGTAAATAACTAATCAGTAGATAATATTTACTTCGTACATGAAGTTATCACAGAGTTCAAAGCTACTGATAATTTCAAAACAACTTACAAGTAGGTAACAACATTATTATTATTAATACATCATTATTCCCTGACATATATAAAACATTGTGTTTACACTTAATTCGTAAACAAGGTTAGAATTCTGCTTATTGACCTTTTTCTTTTGAGGAACTGTAAATAAACAAATTTTTAACTTTCGAGTGGTCCAAGAAACCACTCGCAAGTTAAAAATTTGTTTATTTAAAAGCTACGGTTATCTAGCGTTGGTTATCTATTGGTATCAAGTCTAATTTAATTGTCTAATCTAATTGTAGTCTAATACAGGCTATTTTTTTTTTGAGGGTTGATAATGGAATGGTGCACCCGCCTGCGCTAACGGTTTACGCTGGCGGGGCACCAGTGGAGGATAAGATGAACCTGAGGTCAGGTCAGTTAGCCCATCGTGCAAATTCATCAGGAATTTATCACGATGGTTTCCAGGGGGACCCGCGTGGAGGTCAACCTGACATGGTACATTGCTAGTAATAGGTTATAAAGTCCACATTACTAACAATCCCCTCCCCCCGGGGAAAGGGAGTTAGTAATGTGGACTCTCGACCTCCACGCGGTTCCTCCTGGAAATCATCGTGATAAATTCCATGTGAATTTATCACGATGGGCTAACTGACCTGACCTCATGCTCATCTTATCATCCTCCACTGGTGCCCCGCCAGCGTAAACCGTTAGCGCAGGCGGGTGCACCATTTCATTATCATATACAAAAAAAAATAGTCCAAACACCGTAATAAAAAAAAATATTTTTTTTTTAATATTCAAAGTACATATGTGGCTGGATTACGATTCTATCATAATTATGATATGACTAGCTTTTGCTCGCGGCTTCGCTCGCATTAATTTATCGCTTTAGGGGTGGAATTTATCAAAATCCTTTCTTAGGGGATGGCTACGTCATAGTAGCTTTATGCATGCAAAGTCTCAGTCCGATCGGTTTAAAATTGACGAAGTTTCATATAAACTTTCGTTGTAAAAATTCTACCCCCAAGGGGATAAAATAGGGGATTTTATCCCCTTGGGGGTAGAATTAATCAAAATCCTTTCTTAGCGGATGCCTACGTCATAACATCTACCTGCATGCCAAATTTCAGCCCGATCCGTCCAGTGGTTTGGGCTGTGCGTTGATAGATCACTATGTCGGTCACCATTGAGTTATATATATTTATATACATATGTTTATTCACGTATTCAAAATAACTTTGTAAGGCTTGTGATCAATAAAAATATCTTTATTGGTCAAAGTCATACGAACAGATGACGTGTTTTCTTTATATTGACTTTGTTATAAAACTTGACCTAATTTAATAAATGTTTATTACTTTATTCAGTGGAAGCAACTCAGTGGAAGAACTCAAAATGAATATTTTTTGCAACCTTTTTCAATGCTGCGCCGCCCCTACTGGTCATAGTGTGATGTTATATAGCCTATAATACCCGATAACTTACCATTCCAGTTATATAAAAAAATCTACGCAATCGGAGAGTTCACCAAAATCTAAATTGGTCATGATACCAAACTGTAACCAACATTTGTTGAGGTCCATAATGATCGGTTGTTGCATAAAATACACGTAATACACATTTGTAACACTGACATTTTCTCAATTACTCTTTTTATTATTATATATCCATTACTATTTGATATTGAAAGTGTATAATATGAATGTGGATGGATGTAAAGGGAGGGGACGCTCTAAGAAAAGATGGATAGATTGTGTGAAAGATGATATGAGTAAAAGAAGAGTATGTTCAGATATGACGACCGATAGAGAGCAGTGGTAGAGAATGACATACTGCGCCGACCACAAATAATGGGATAAAGGCAAGGCAATGATGATACTATTTGATATTGAACAGAGATTTCTAGCGGTTTCTATGTTGATTGTCATGCCTAATCCTTGTTGTTAATTAAATATAAGTAAACCAATATTTATTTAAAAGAGCAACACAAAAGTTTCTTTTTCATTCTTCTAGTGAGGAGTCTGCATTCCGAATGAGCGGTAGAATAAAAAAACTTGACTATTCAAAAGTGCTTGTATTAAGTTTATTTGAATAAATGATTTTTTATTCTATTCTATTCATTACTAACATTCCCCTTCTATGTATATAGTGTATATTAATGTATGTATGTATATACAAAAAATATATTTAAGTATTTGTATCAGTTGTCTAATACCCATAATAAGTAGATCTTGCTTGACTTGGGATTTCATTGCGCTGTCTGAATTTGAACTTTAAAATCTTTAAAATAAATTATAAAGTAAATAACCGTGGACAATTAACACAGCGCCATCTAGTCCCACGGTAAGCAGTGCTTGTGTTATGAGTACTAGACAATTGATATAAATACTTAGATTTTTTTGTACATAAGTACGTACATAGAAAACACACACACCGATACAATCCTACACATAAATACAAATGTTTGCACTGTTCGAGGAATCGAACCCCCGACCATCGGAAGTAAAGCCGTTTGCTAAACCGCTATACCACCGAGGGCTGCATGTATGTATAACATAAAAAATGTATTTAAGTATTTATATCAGTCGTCTAATACCCATAACGCAAGCTCTGCTTAGCTTGCCATTACATGGTGATGCGTGAATTGTTCAGGGTTAAAAAATTCTTTGTTACAATACCGCAGAAATAGTATGTGGTTTATGTTAACCTATAAGGTAATGAACGATTACGATAACATCTAACTATTTGGTTGGTCCAACTGTCCATCCGTGGGTCATGAAT